CGGAAGGGGGAGGGGCCGCGCCGGGTGAGGGGCCTCGGGGTGGAGGCCGCCCCGCAGCGGGCAGCGCCGGGGAGCGCTCACAGCCGCCGGCTCGCGAGGGGTGGAGCAGGTTTTCCTCAGAGTTTGGGTTTTTTTGGCAGGGGTGCCCCGAGCAGAGGGGGGGTCACAGGCGTCCGGCGCTGCACGGGTTCCCGAGGGTGGGTAATCGCCCCCCCACCCAGCTCCTCGCACCCGGTCAGGTTTCCATCGTGGGGCCTGGGCCTCGGGCTCCCGGCTCCAGGCAGCCGGCACCCAAGGCCGGACATTGGGTGACCCGTCCTGGGAACCCACCCCGACTTCTGTCACCAAAAGCCATAATCTAAATATCAAAAAAATTAATTACCAAAAAGCGTAGCGCAGCACACCTCCTCACAAAGTACCTGTTACCAGAGGACAGTAACCGTTCTTTGTTCCTCTCATCCTGAAGAAAATTTCAAGCGGTGGCTTCTCACCTGTAAGGTGCCCCCCAGGAGAACTGTCCTCTGGAAAAAAAGCAGTGCTACAGGCCTTTTTTTTTTTGTTTGGGAAGTGCGGCGGGGTGATCGGAAGGGGGAGGGGCCGCGCCGGGTGAGGGGCCTCGGGGTGGAGGCCGCCCCGCAGCGGGCAGCGCCGGGGAGCGCTCACAGCCGCCGGCTCGCGAGGGGTGGAGCAGGTTTTCCTCAGAGTTTGGGTTTTTTTGGCAGGGCTGCCCCGAGCAGAGGGGTGTTCACAGGCGTCCGGCGCTGCACGGGTTCCCGAGGGTGGGTAATCGCCCTCCCACCCAGCTCCTCGCACCCGGTCAGGTTTCCATCGTGGGGCCTGGGCCTCGGGCTCCCGGCTCCAGGCAGCGGGCACCCAAAAGTCAGGATTGGGTGACCCGTCCTGGGAACCCACCCCGACTTCTGTCACCAAAAGCCATAATCTAAATATCAAAAAAATTAATTACCAAAAAGCGTAGCGCAGCACACCTCCTCACAAAGTACCTGTTACCAGAGGACAGTAACCGTTCTTTGTTCCTCTCATCCTGAAGAAAATTTCAAGCGGTGGCTTCTCACCTGTAAGGTGCCCCCCAGGAGAACTGTCCTCTGGAAAAAAAGCAGTGCTACAGGCCTTTTTTTTTTTGTTTGGGAAGTGCGGCGGGGTGATGCAAGTCATGTATGCTTTCAACTTCTTGATGCAGAACTGTGCTCTTGCACATATTGGAGCTTTATTTCACCAGAAAAAAAAAGTTGGTTTAACTCAGACTTGAGTTTACAAGGAGAGTGAGTGTTCCCATGTTAGCTGTAAATTCCCACACTTCCCTGTCTCAGCTTTGATAATTAATTTCAGAGAAGTCAAACGATACATCATTACCATCATTCAGCAGCTTTCCCAGGGAAAAATGTAAGTTTTTGTCTAGTTTATTAAAAGGGAAAAAAGCCAACGTCTGCCCCTCCAGCTGGAGAAGCCCAAGTCCTGAACTGCTGTGAGGAAACGTGGGAGAACGAGGCACGCATTTAGGAAGGCAGCAGAATTGGATGAAAATTTAAATTTTGCTTCTACATAGAGCAAAACTCCTGGGGAAAATTGCTCTCGTCTTTTTTCTTCTGCATATTCCCACTGTAAGCAGCACTACAGATACTCCTCTCACTAACGTGTTACACTCGCATCTTTATTGCGAGCCAGTCCTCTTTGAAACGTTGATGTCATGAGGTTAAACTGAAAACAGACAATTACTGTCTTAGTTTCCTGCAAAGATCGTTGCTAGGTAAGTACATATAGCTGCTCTTAGCCCTCCGCACGCTTCCCCCCAGGTATGGCGTATAATTTCAACATCAGTTGTAGCAAAAGTTTGTTGTTAACCGTAAGTTACATCCCATACACGCAGCAATAAATTCTTGAAGGATCCGATTTGGCCAGACCCTTACTTCCATCTTGTAAGGCAGCGCTGCATTCACAGGATGGATGGAAGGGAATTATACATTTTCAGAAAGCATACGATTCCCTCTAGGATTTCCGTAACCATGGTAACATATATAGATAGCAGGCCTGATTTCAACCCATGTTTTATTGTTGCAGCAGTGAAGAGTTAGATTCTATAAGTACCACCCTAGCTACAGTGAAGAGTTAGATTCTATAAGTACCACCCTAGCTACTGGAATAAAATACTGGCCTTTTACTTCCCCATTGAAAAAAATGCAGGTTGCATTGCTACAGTTTAATAAACATTCAGTGTAAAGTGCCAAAATCGGTTCCGTAATAAAGCTACGCGGGATGTCGTGCTTCACGAGCCCTGTAGCTACAGCGAAGAAGGGGAGAGCACTAGATTTCTGCGAATGCAAAATGAATATGAATGTGCTCAACAGAACTTAAGCTGGAGATTAAAAAAAGGCACCCCCATCAAATTTTCACGTGTTTTATTTAGGTGAACATACACATGGTCCACGTACTCAAGGAAAATAGTCATAAAATAATTTAAGAACTTATGTTGAAAGTCTTAGCAGCACCATCAGTATTGGAATAGCAGAAAATTCATGCCTCCGTAGGGCATACATTTATGCCTGGATAAAAATGCCATCATTTATAACAGGGGATGGGAATGAATGGCTTTATAGGATGCTTTTGGGAGTCGGAGTTTTAAAACACACACTTTTTTGCTAAATACTTCGACGATTAATGTTACAAAAAATACAACTAAATAAGATACTGCATAGTATTTTAATTAACATAAAGAAATCGACATTGAGCTCTGTAAAGCAAGACTCAACATCTCTGCTTCCACGTACATTTCATTTCTGAGTAGAGAAATCTAAAATTTAAAAACAAAATATAGACCTAGTGTATTCTCTAAAAGACACACTTTAGGTGGAACATATAGTACTACGAAAATACATATCTTCCATTCTGTTTAATAATTTACTTTAGTTAAAAAGTTGTGAAATTTTCATCACAAGAAGCGTATACAAATTCATGACTTTAGTAAATTAACAAAAAGGATTTTTTTTTTTTTAAACAAGGTTTAGCCCCGCTGTAACAATTATACAAGGAAGAAAAGAGACTACATTTATATGAAGGAATACAAATTTACACACATTTTACAGTTACTTATACCCTACACATCTACAAAATTCACAGTTATAATACAAGCAAGTACAAGGCTGGGATAAAGCTGTTTGATACCAAAAAAAGTTTCTACTTTAAAAAAAGATAAAACAGGAAGAGTTTCAGACTTCTGCACCAACTTTAAAATTCTAATCAGACCAAAATACACTTCCTTACACAGACGCCCTTCAGCAAACGCAGACTGCTTTCCTGGGCGGGTGGAAGAGTGAATTGCTGAGCTTCTTCTGGCCCCGCAGGCTGCGTCGCATGGCCAGCTTGTTTGAGTTTTTTCGCTGCGGCGTCGTGGAGATGCCTTCTGGTTGCACGCTGATGTTTCGACTCAGGCCACGTCTGGGCTTCTTCAGAGCTGGGCCAGAGTTGGATTCTTCCAATGTCCTTTTAAAGTTTGCTGTGGGTGTCCTCTCTGCATCTTGGGCTTTTGTTTGGCCATTAGGAGACACCTTGAAGCCTTTTTGGTCCGTGCCTGAATTTGCAGAGTTGGAAGGGGAGAGACTGACTGACAAACCATTACTGTAGGATTCATGTATCCTTAATGCCAGCGCTTTGCTGCACTTCTCCTCCTGTGGGCCTGAATCCTTCGGGGTTGCTCCCGATGAAGGTAAATTGCTTTTGGCAATCTCGTTTGGCAGCTCTAAATATTTTTCTGAGATCGCGTTGCTATGCACGAGGGGAGGAACAGCCTCAGAAGCATTCAGTCGTGGCCACGGATCATCTTCTAAAAGCTGAGGAAAAAAGAAAAAAAAAATATTGAGGCACAAATATAATTATTTCACCCGCATTATCCTTTGAGGGTGGAGACAGTGCGGGACAGAACTTCTCTAAACCTTATCAGAGACAGAAAAATCCTACTCCAAAACAGAGAGGCAGAAACAAATTCAGACTGTGGATCTGAGCTGGGTACTTTGTGTGCACCAACTTCATAAAAGCATTTTTTTCAATCACCCGATCTGCTGGTGTCTCCTAAGGGCAGACACGTCATCTTTTCCTTCAGAAGGCTGCTCAGACTTACTCAGCCTATGTACCTTCCTTTTTGCTGCTGTAAAACGCTGAGGAATCTGCACGCCTCTGCTGTTAATTTAGGAAGCCATGTAGAAAGCAGTGCCCGCAATCTCTGCCCTATGACTTTCATCAGTAGTGTTTTCCAACGCGCAGACGTGGCTTCCCTCCAGCAGACACTGTGATATAGGCACCTATCCTGCCTTCTGACGATTTTGCACGTCATCAGATGGCCAAGCACTATGAGGGCAAGCAGGAGAAAAAGTCTTCTGACCTTTGTCACGTGCAGAATTCTTAGTTACTGCATAACCAGATTATCAGGGAGATCGACAAGCTCTTCATCACAGGTGTCCTGACTGCATACAGAAAGGCGGAGCATCGGACAGAACAATTCTAAAAATAGATTTACTGTTTGCTACGTGAAGTAATGCATTTTATTGCCTAGTTTTATGCTCTACAACTTGAAAAGAAAGCACCTCCATTCCTCACAGCACATCTATCCACTCTGTAAAGCACAGTCATTCTGTACTTTGAAGAGAGGCTCCTCAATACGATGTCCCGAGAACCAGGGACTTTCTAAACTGTAACCCTACCTTCAGCTATCGTCTCTTCTGCAGCCTTCGAGAAGTGCGTTTGCCTCATTCTCAGTTTTACCAACAGGAAAATGGGGACAATACTCGCTTTCACTACACACAGGGGGATTATGAAAATGACTATGCAGTGCCCTGAAGATATGAATTATGACCTTATTAAAGATGTAATTGTGCAGAAATCCATAGTTACTCAGCAAGTCCTTCAAAAGTAAATTTCAAGGCCACGTTACCCTACATACCATCAATGCAAGGCAAAGGACAATGCCTTTTGAGAAAATAACATGCCGAAAACTCAAACGCACACACAGCTGAATCGGAGTAAGTCACTGTAACATCTCAGACGAACAGACAGATGCTTCTGAAGTCACAACCCAGAACAACTTCAGTTCACCTTCAAGAAGAGATCCATGACTGCTCAGCACTTTCAAAAAATCTAATACTGAGGTTTAACAAAACGCACTCCGAAAGAGAAAATCAGAATCGTTTCTAGCTCTAGGCTTCATTTTCCACTCCCCTTTACTCCCCCGTTGCTCCCCATGTGTAGATAAAACCATTTAGATAATATTCTTTTACTACATACAGCAACACAGGAGGGAACACCTTTATAGATGATAATTTAGAGGTTATTCAACTCGGTTCTTTCAGAACCCATAAGCAAGCCAGATGACACACACAGAGCAGCTCTGGCAAGGTTACTTAATCTGCTCAATTTAATTTTTGAAATTGCGTCTCTAGCCACGACTTGGGTTTTAAGTTTTCACTGTGCAAGACGCTTAACACCGTGGCTCTCGTTGCCAACAGCTTTTGCCTGGTACGAATAGCTGAGACTGGATAAGGCTTTGGGAAGCCAAATGAAGTCAGAGGATGGACTGCTAGAGAGTGATGTAACAAAACAAGTAAAATAAAACCTGAATCACCAACTTCATTTCTCAACAATCTGATCAATCAAATTTTATCACTGGCCTCAGGAATACTTGAATTAATTTGGTATTAGTAATTGTTGCCAGAAGGATATGCAATTAAGAAATACTTCTGTTTAATTGAGAAACTTTGATTTGGTCTCCATCTATTTCCAAATTAATTGTTTTGGAACATAGCAGCTGTGAAGAGTCAAGGCTATCCGTGCTTCTTTCAGTTCTCTGAAGATAACAGGCAAATACCCTTTCCATTGCCACCTCTTGTTTTCGCTGACCTGTCCTCTCTGGGCTACAATCATCCCACAACCGCCAGCAGTTCAGGCTGACCCGGGGAACCACCTCTCGTTTCTTTACGGAAACCGTGATGATCCTGTTTCAGTAAAATTCAACAGTAATTTTGTAAGAAGATTAATTACTGACCTAAATTAGATCATATATTTACCTGCAGCTTTAGGTGTAAAGGTATTTATGTACTGTTTTGCAAATGGATATTGTCATCTATGGCCATACTTTCTTTTGTGCAATCAACAAAACGGGGCTTTTCCCTCCTGTGAGGTTGACGGTATGACTAGGATCACAAAGGATCATGAAATAAGGGCATCTCCTGAATCTCTCGCAAGTTATCACCATCAGAAAAAAAATTCCAAAATGCATATTCTGAAACAGTCGTGTGGCTGTACTTCATAGGGAACCTGGCACCTGGTAATAAGGCTACCTGTTCACGTCTGAGGCGTGGCCTAAGAAACCATGTATTCCACCGGGTTTGGGGAGAGTCCCAAATGCCTCAATTCTGTGTCACATAATTTTAAAGAAAACATTGAGCCAACAGCGCTCTGCATGCACAAAATTTTACCCAGCAGCCTCCCGTGAAGGCTATATAAATGCAAAGCCTACGGTCCAGCCATTATATAACCGAAGTTTATGGAAATGTTTGTCCTTCCATTATGGCTCTTATCTGACTGACAAAGCTCTTTGCACTATGAAAAAGATAACATTACGTAGGATGGTGTAGTTACCAAATATACTTACAGATAACTACACAAAGTTCTTGTTTTGCAAAAAACCATACATGGAGACACCACTGCCAAGACATTACATTTATTATGATCTGCCTGGAGAACTTTTTTTCCCTGAAGTATTTAAAAATTATTCTGACAGTCTTTTCTGGTCTTTTTCTGTCTCTTTTCTTGCCAACTTCCTTCTCACATTCCTTTTCTTCTGACAGTTACAGGTACTCTGTGAGGACAGTTGGATGGCTGTTATTAAAGCAAAAACCTATATGACATTAGTACTTTTAATAAAAAACAAGTACTCAGAAAATAGGTTCTATGTTTTGAAATGGGCAACACCGGCTCTACTTTAATCCAAGAGGAGAAAAGCTTTTGCATTAAAATAGAACTTATTGATACATGTATGATCAATGCAGACCTGGAGCCAGTCAAAGTTCTCTCCTGGGTTTTACACATAAAGCAAAAAAATAAGGCCTTATCTACATGGCAACCACCAGAATCGTTACTTGTCTGAAGTTTTGATCTCTCCACTCTGTGAGCAGTTTCACACATCACAGTTCACTGAATCTACTTAGATGGGGAGGGGGAACATTAAGAAAAAGAAATATTTTCATTAAGTCCTTATCCAGAAACGCTACTTCCTGGGTATTTGCAGTCAACATAGCTCAACGTTTATTCAATGAGTACTGATAACAGATCACACACAAAACATATGGTACAACTTAAAAGTTTAGGAGTATTTAGAATTCAAATAATTTTTCTCCACTCAAGATTTTGCTAGATTTTAAGCTCTTTTCATGTATTTTGCTACACTGGATGGAAGGGAAGGAGACAGAAAAGCTGGGCTTGCCATTTCATTAGCAGCTTGTTTCTACCAAGGGAACGTTAAAGACTCCCTTTATAATTTTTGCTTTCTTTTTACTTTGCCCAAAGGACAGTTATCCAAAGATACTGCAGAACATCAAAGGACAGTTACTTAAATCAGGAGCAGCTGGTAATTACTGAAACAAACATCCACTCATAACTACTCTAGTTCTTAGAGAAAGAAAAAAAAAAAGCTTCTGAACAGCTCTGCTTTATGTTAATGGTTAAAACTTCTAAAACAAGGTCTTTCTTCACGTTAGAATGTCTTTTCCTCTAACAAAGAGCATTAAATCAACCAGAAGATCATAAGATCTCCCAATCCAGAAAGAAAACATTCTTTACAAAAATGTGTGTTTGAATACATTAACCCATGGGTTACCTTAAAAAAAAAAAACCACTCAACAAAAAAACCCCACCAAACAAAACACAACCAAAGACAAACCAAAACACACCAAGATTAAGAACACATCCCCAGGCAGTCCGCAATTCATCAGCTATGCAAGCTACACAAGTACACGGCAAGGTAGGAAGAGCAACTGTAGCCCAACCTTACTCTCTACGGCAGTATGTCGGGTTTTCTTCCTTTTTAAACCTCTGATCCCCACAGTCTGATTCCTGTCTTTCAATAGCCTACTTCTGATTTTGTGTGGGATCTTGGAAAACTTACTTATAAGAAACAGTGCCTTTAAAGTTGTGTGAACTATATGCGTGAAGTTACAGCAATCAGTTCTTCCACATTAAGGAGGGAATACAGATCAACAACTACTACTAAGTGATCAGGCTTTTACGAGTTACAAAAATATTGTATCCCTATATTCAGCAGTTCTGAGAAGTTAATACTTTAATACTCTGCCTTGGTGTTAAAACTTCGTCTATTTCTCCAAAGCTTTGTACATGGAAGTATTGAGGATATGGCTGTCAAGTTACTGTCCTACAACTAAAATATATTACCTACCCATACATACTGCCTAGTCCACTGCAGTTAAAAAAAAATAGAAGAAACAAAGCAACATCAAATAAAGTTTCAGTTGACAGGCCAGTAGTTTCTAAAAGTATTCCTTCAATCACTGGCAATGGCCTGACTACACCATTGCCCCAGTCCTGCATAAAAAGCTGCATAAAAAGAAATTACTACTCAGGGAAGAAAAGAGAGATTGATATGTATTTAGTGGGCTCCACACTCCGAAGTGGAACACTTAAAACACTAAAAAGACCCCACATTACCTTGACAGGGGGGGTACAGCAGCGGGAGGGTGTCATGACATTCATATCAGGGCTGCTATAGCAGGGGCTCTCTGCCAAGTTGAGATACAATTCTTCTTCATTTTCCAAGTTGCTTTTGCTATCCTGCAACGGCGAGATGCAGATGACGATGGCACTGGTGTTATCTGCACGAAGCATGCGTTGCCTCCACCGGCCTAGCGCTCTGTTCACCAGCATTTTGGCACAAGACTGTCGGTGCTCTCCCTTTATGTTAGCAAAGAGGGACAGACAGAGAAAGCGATCAGGTCCACTTTACTTTATAACTGGAAGATAAAGAGTTTACGTGGCACAGCCTGAAATACGTACATAGTCCTATATATCATGTGCTAAAGTAGCTTGATTCAGAAATACGAGAGGAAATATTAATTGAAACGTACCTTTCTTAGTGAAATATAACCTTAAAATCAGTTTATGGTAGAATCCACGTATATATGAGCGCTTTAAACCATAAAACTGATGCAATGACTTGCATAAATAGCCTGGTTGTAACACATCCTGTGGCCTTTCTTAAAGTCTCTCAAGGGGTTTACAGACTATTTACTATCTGATGCTCAGATGTGCCATTATATAAGTTCTCAACTGTTTTATAAAATAAACCAGAGAAGAATTTATTTCAAACTTTGTACAAATCACGTAAAAACCAATAAACAATTGTCTGCATGCGTCTTAATGTGAAATAATTTGCATTTTCAGACAATATTTTGTATAACTTCCTTAGAGAAGGAACACGTTATCTTCATTGTTACTCATAGATACCATACTGGTAGACAAATTTCCCCAAAATTACAACCAAATAATTTAAACAACCTTAACATGCGTGGTATTTGACAGTATACGGAAGCACAGTATCAGCCGCATCGCAACAACTTATATGTTGTGGCAAAACTACAAATATGCCTGAACAACAGTGCCATTGTTAGGTACTTTTCATACGTGTCAGACTAAGGAATTTTTAGAGGAAAAAAGTATTACATTTCCACAATGACTTGTAGCCACTGCTCTCACCATGAAGTATTTTTTCTCCTCGTGATCCTGGCACATGGAGATAGCATCTTGAGGCGGGATCATGTTCCACAGCCCATCACTGCCAAGGATAATATATTTGTGCTTCTGGGGATCAATTGTGTGCACACTAGTGTCAGGTTCAGGAGACACAACAAATTCACCGCTGTAGAAGTCGTAGCTCCAAAGATCGCCTAGCAAAGAAGAAAATGTTTTTGAATTTTTACATGACACACGAAAATATGGATCTTGGAAACTACAGAAAAACGTTCCCATGAAAACAACTACCACCAGTCTCAAGTCACCCACAGTAACACAAAGTACTTTCAGCACAATTACTGTTCTGCTGCTGTCACTTTCCAATTATAGTTGTTAATATGTAGTAATTTAAATAAAAACACATTCAAACCAACCTATGTTTATAGGAAGTCTTCTAATCTCTTAAAACTAACATTTTCAGAAAAAGGGGAAATAGATTAATACCTAGAAAACAGTGAAACCTCAATATTCAAACTAAAACCTATCTGAACAACTGAAGTTCTGCTTAAACAGAAGTAAAGCCTTACTTTGAACCCACACCAAACTTGCAAACATCTGCCTTTCCAGTTATTGGTACAGTTTAAATACTGGAGCCAAAATCCTTACCTTACAGGGAATCATGGCACGGTTTATAGAACTAGGCTGGGATTTGGAGGGGAGGATCATATAATACCCTTTCTCCCCAACGTCACATACAGCATATACAGCATTAGACTTCAATCGGCATCACGATGGTGCCTGCACACCCTAACAAGTCCTGCTCGTAGAAGAAGAAAAAAAAAAAAACAAACCCCACACAAACCAACAACCCCCCCACTACCACCACCCAAACTAAAACCCCCACCTTTTCACACTCAAGGTGCTAAACTGCCCCCCCTCCTTTTTTTTTTAAACCTGAGACCCTCCACAGCCACCTGAGCCATACAGAAACACACAGTTACGTCTTGCTGTGGATGTATTTGTGCACGCAGGTGCCACAGAGAAGGAGCAAAAGGAAGAGGGCAACGGAAGAGAGACTGAAGCCTTTCCCCTATTAATTTCTTTTTCCCATTCCTCCTCCTTCCACAGCGTTAGCATCACTTTCAAAGCCGCGCAGCGCTGCGTTAGAGCCTCCTTCCAGCTGAACACCATGTGCCAAATTTTGGAGTTGGAAAGAAGCCACAGAACACACGTAGTGCCTGGGTTCCAGCAGGAAAGCAGAAAACGAGAGCTAAAGCCTCTCCCTTGGAAGGCCTCATGCAGTGAACCTTTCTATTTTTAAATCTTGCTATGCGAATGAGTTTGGGGTCACCTCACCCGTAACGATGGCCCGAACTGTATCTGAATAACACATTCGAATCAAAACCTCTATTGCTTCGAGTGCTTCCTCCAAACCACCCTCAAGTAAAAACCACTCCAACAGAAAAATGCATTTCTATATCAATTATTTCCATTTTGTTTATCAGGTACACTTAAAAAAGTAAAAGCTTTTTCTAAGGTTGGGCCTTTAAATCAAGAACGGTATTATGTTGTACTAACACCTTCTCTTCCTTTTTTTTTTTTTCCCTAATGCTCATAAATAGCTTCTTATAGTGATAAGTAACAAAAAGTAACATTATTATTTGCCAGCGCTGGCTAGATCTTTCTGTGCAGAACACATGGCTTTGAAAGTAGAAATCAATTAAAATGTCAGAGTTGAAAAGCATACAGAAGCTTAAGAACTCCAGTTGCAAAGTAAGGTTTTGTCCGGTTTTTTCTTTGCTTTTTGCTGGCCTCAGAAAGCATGCCTGCAGCCTTCTTCCGCATCCATCACCACACTTTTAAAGATAATAAGCAAGCTTTTTGTCTTCCTACTTCCTTCCATTAGCTTTGCCTTAAGCTATCAACCAGTTGAAAAGACTTTTCCAGAATCAGGAAAGGGAATACTTCAACTCAATTACTCCACTTCACCACAGCAAGCATGGATGGTCCATCCTCATTAAAGCACCAATTCACCTTCACTGCAGCAGCAGCAGACAGAAACACATGCTTCTAATAAGTGCTAATTAAAAGCCAAGCCTGCTTGTATAGAAGTGCACTCTCCCTCCGCAGACTCACAACAAAGCAAGCCAGCTGGCAACAAGATCAAAATAAATACGGTGACAGAAGAGCCAAGCTCCAGCACAGCAATTATTGTATATGAATTGCCACGAAAAGTCTTCGGGCACTGAGAGTTCCTCCCATCATGCCTGGCATGGATGCAGCAGGTAAAATAAACAAGAGCTCGGGATCTTACACCAACCAGGTCTTGGAATCAGCGGCAGCAGCAATTTCCAACACGCGTAATATTTTCATGCTTTTATTTGCTAGTTTGTTCATACTCCTTTAGGAGAAATGACAAATGTTATTAGCTGAATCAGTTTTTTTTAATTAAAAATACTGTACTGTAGGATAAAAATAACCTGATTCTATTTAATTGTGCTTCATCTACATACATGTCATCATGCCCATCTGCTGCTCTTCCTGAGAAGACAGCTGAGTAACAATCACACTGATTTCAGAGAATCTTCCTCCAAAAGGAAGGCGGCTCCTCATGGGGATAATCGGGAATATCGCATTGGTTATACAGGCAACTCTAAGGATTATAAACTTGCTGAAGGGCACACAGAGATTCCGGGAACACACACAACGAATCCACGCCTCACAAATCACAGGCCAACCCCCTGACCAGGAGCCCAGCACTCCTAGTTGCCACTGAAAGTCTTCCAGCCTCAGTGCCTCTCCTCCACAATGCGTTGCCCTTCTGAAGGCCATGGTGGAACTGTACACCGAGGTGTGGGCTTGGCGCAGGAATTAATAGCTGGCAGGCCATGATTTGTGTTAGAACGGCTGCCAGGATACCTGATAATAGTAGTCCACATCTTTGGCCAAATCCAGGTGCAAACCTGCAACTAAGCCACATCTCTACACCACTATTACCATCCTTAACTGGGGAGGGGGCAGGCAGAGAGAAAATTAGATACCACAAGAGGAAAGTCATTTTTCCTGAAAGCAAACAGTGAAGAGGAGCTAAACTAGTTCAAGGACTCGCAGCTTCAAAGACCAAGTTTATTAAACATACATTTTTTGGCAAAATGCATTCTTTCAAATAATATCCTGTAGCATCACCTCTGTCAAAGCAGCATTCAAAGTTTGCTGTAAACGTACAGCGAGAACTGAATCTCCATGAGTTTTAAATTCCACTGTACTCATCTATTTAGGCTCAAGAATCTCTAGGAAATACACAATACCTTATTTACAAAGTTGTACGATGGAACAGCATTAAAGCACAATCAGGTATTAACTGACCAACTCCAGACAAGTCTGGAGCTACTGAAAGCTAAATGGAGCTCTAGATGTCACAAACTGAAAAAAAAAAAAAAATAAAGCTTTTGTTCCTTGACCCAAGAAAAACTCCACAAAGTAGATTTGAAGCTTGAGACACAAAAATCCAGATTCTTCCTTCTTCAGCCTAGAAGGAAACAACCAGTACTTGCAATTGCCCTGAAGAACAGGAAAAATTGCCTTCACTGTCAATCTTTCGTCAGTCTACTCCCATAAACCCACAAACTCAGACTGATCGAGCAGGCAAGTGATCCTTGGTAGAACAGTACTGCATAAAGACTACTTAAAGAATAATTCTCACAGATCCTTCAACTCCAAGCCAGCAAAGGCCAACCCATGTCACTAGGGTGAGGTACTATTTCCCCCCCCCCCCCAAAGGGCAGAGCACCACAGATTAAGTCAATGCTTTTTAGAGCAGCTGCATTGCTAGAATACTCATGTCAGCTGTGTATCTTTCTCTGGCCAGCTGGAGAGCACAGCATCCGCAGCGGCTGAGGAATATATGACAAACTTAGGAAGAGCCACTGTACATCGCACACTCTGTTACAATTCTGGGAAGGAAAAAGGGAGAGAAAAGTAAGCCAGAAAGCAGAGTACGCTTTTCCCTAGACTTTTCAAAGTGCTCCGAAATCTTTAATTCTGTCCCAAAGCAAGTAGACAGACAAGTGACCCTTTAGCAGACGGGGAAGCCAAGAAAGCAAGATGATGTGATATGCCAGAGGCTACTATTACAGAACTGGAATGCGAGGTTCTCAGACTTCACTTTGTGAGCCATACTATTTTTGTTCTGAATTAAAACCACCACATTTACAAAACTTAACAAATCTTGTTCTCTAAAAACTTACGGACCAGGAATATTTCTTTTGGCATGAGGCTTGCATATGTCTTTTCCAAAGAAAAACACCAAAACAAAACAAAAAAGGTATTAAAGTAGTTCCTTCCGTATTTTCCAGAAAAGTCATACCTGTTTCTTAGCCATGACTCAAACCAGAATAATATACAGAGATCTACACAAAAATTACATTGCATCTTACAAAATGAAAAATAGATGTTTAAAATCATATACTAAAGGAGCAGGAAACTAATTTAGCTACCTATGGAAATATCAAAATATGTAGTCTATCTTATCTGCTTACTATTAGCTTTTAAAATACAGTACAAAAAAAAATACTTGTAACTCAGCTGCTGCCAGGAAAGTAATTGAAGTTACAAACAAAAACACCCGTCATATAAGTAGACTGGATTGGATTAAGCCCAAAGCCTTCTTATAGCAAAAGTATGTCCAGAAGTCACATAAATCAAGTCTTTCATTTATGTTTCTGGAGCATGCTGTTTTGAATACAAAAATATCTTTTGGTTTTAATAGAGGAAAGAAAAGTTTACTTTTATAGGTCAGTCCAAAACAAAAACCCAGTTTGATTAATCCCAGATCTTTTTAAATCAAAGGTTTATCTAAAAAGTCTGTTAGTACAAAGAGAAGACTTGCAGAACTTCCTTTTTTCATTGTCAATGAGGCAGCGCTGCTAGGAAGTGAGACAAATCTCAGCAACGATACAGACAGGAATCACTTAAAACCATCCAGGCTAAGCTGTGGTGGAAAACGTTTTCGCCAAAACCCACGGCAACCCAGTCCTATAGCCACAAGAGGGCATCTCCACAGCAGTCTAAAGAGGACTGCAACGCAATGTCCCGTTCCTACAACCCGGGAATGATTAAAGACAGCTCAGTCTGAGCGATGGGGACAAAATTGAAGGTAGCAGCGAGCAGAAAAGTTACACAGAGAGCACTTGAGGCTTTAAAACTTTCACTACTC